GGGGGGTCGTATTATACATGAGATCGTATTATACATGAGATCGTATTATACATGAGATTGTATTATACATGAATAAATATTGTAGTTGAATCTCTTCTAAAAAAACTTTATTCTCGTCTCTGACTGGAGTGAGTTCCAGCAGCACACACTCTTCCTGTTTACACTCCTGGAGGTGTGACCTTTTACATCAGATGTTAACGTAACCAACTTTTGATTGTGCAGGCAGAAGAACACATGATGAGACACGCACCAACTCTCATTCTGTTTTAAACCTTAGGGCTGCAATGATCAAAATGTGCAAAATTAAAATACTGGATCTGACATTTAGTCAGTCAGTTACGAAATTTCCTTCACCAGGATAAAAACTGCGACAAAAGAAAAAGTTTAATGATGCCGAAAAGTGTCTGATGTTTGTCTCATTACTGCTTTTCTTTGCAACGCTTCACTAAGACTGTAATGAAAAAGATAAATGTTTATATTGAAATAGAAAGCAATACGAGCAAAATTTATTCTGACAAATTGCCCGTAAATGTGCATTTATAACTAAACAAACCGGTCGTAGTCGTTCTCTGCTGTTGAAGGTAGTTCTGTGTTTTGATCAAGCTGTTGATAAGTTTGCCTTCAGGGAGAAAATGTTTAACTTTTTTAAAATTCTCACTCACAATTCAGAATAAACACAGTCTGTCATCCCTGGAGCTCCGCTGTAGTTTGGTCTGTGCCAGCAGTTGTTCCCTGGCAGAGCGGCGGCGCCTCTTCACTGAGCACCTGTCCTCTCTCTGTAGATGTGTCGGTGAGTCTGTTGTCCCTGCTGGTCACCACCTGTGGTCTGGCGCTCTTCAGCGTCTCCCTCTTCGTGTCATGGAAGCTGTGCTGGGTGCCGCTGAGCGGCCGCTTCCTCCCGGATGTCCTGAAGGGGGCGCACTTCCTGGTAGGAGACCAACAACCTGTCCTCACCGAGGTAAAGAAGTCAAACTTAACTGAGTCTTAACTTCAATCATTGTTTTGATAAAACTAAAGTCTTTCTGTGGAATTGTTTTTTTATTTTATTCTTTGTTACTGGAGTCTGATCCAGATTCTTGGAACAAACTCAGACAGTATTTTGTACAATTTGTACCATTCTTACAAAGTTCTGTACGGACCTTTTGTTCCAAAGCAAGCCTGGCAAGATTTCACAGCAAAATAAAATCATCGTTTTCAGTAAAAATAATTTCAGGATTTAAATCACAATTAAAATGATTTGAATCCTTATTTAGCCTTTCATGCAGAACTCTACTACACGGCTATTCTACTGGAGGGCCGTGGGCCACATCAGGCCAACTGGTGACCAAAATCTGGCCCACCAATTGGTTCATGAAGTTCATTGGTTCTTTAGCCCAAACCATTGATTTTCTACTTTAATTACTATAAGTCCTTTAAGTTAAACATATGTGTGGTATCAGAAACGTCAGAATCTTGGCGAAAAGCTGGTAAAAACCATTTGAATGAAAACCCAAGACACTTAAAACTACAAGCAGTAGAATATAAAATTAAGATAAGTAAAAATAAAATATGTTTTAAAATGTGGCGAGGTAAATATGTCAAAAATAATATTTGTGTCAATTGTTTTTGATTTTGTTTTAATATCACTTCTTTTATCGCATGAGGTTCTATATGTTGTATTCATGATTAAATGCAGCAAAATAAACTATATCAAAGTAACAGGTCTCTGTAATACTTGGTATATTTACATAATGACTTTGCTGGATGTTCGGCCCCTCAGCTGTTGGCCTGCACTAACCGTGGCCCCAGAGAAATTTAGTTGAATAGTCCTGCTCTACTAGATCTCTCTACAAAGCTAATACAGGTAAATCAGTCTATAGAGCACAGTGATGACAGTGAAGAGGAAAAACTCTCTTTTAACTGGAAAAAAAACCCTCCAGCAGAACCAGAAGCAGGCTCAGGACAGGCTGGGTTAGGGGGACCTGAAAGAGACACAGACAAACACAGAAGGACTGGTCCAGGTGTATTTTCCTCTGGAAGAGAGATAAAGAAAACAACACGTTCTCACTCCCAACCAGAGAGTTTTTATTTTTGAAGAGTTCCCCTTTGATGTCACTTCCTGTTTCACTTTGTCCGAGAAAAATTCAAAAGAAAATATGCCAATTATGGGACATAAATGGTAAAAACATGTGTATTATAGCAAGTATCTTAAATATGGATGTTTTCTTTGACTTTTTGCATGTCACAGGCCCTTTAACATACATTTGGCACATTGCCGCACGTAAGCTGTGCAAAAAGTCAGAAACACTGTCAAGACTTGTATGAGTTATGAATAAGGTGAGGCACCGGAAAGACCACTGTAACATTTCTATCCAACTGTTACCAGCAGCATGAATATCTTTGTATGTGTGGTGAGTTTTTTCTTTTTTTTTAAGGTGGATGGGGAGGAAAGGGAGTACAGTGAGGATGGCTGTGCAAAGGAGCCCCCGGGCCCCCTGTCGGCTGTGGCTGTTCCAGAATCAGCCCTAAAGATAAGCCACACATCGCCCGACATCCCACTGGAGACGCAGACTAAGTTGGAGAAAAACCAGGTCCACACTCTAGCCAGGGACCGGGTTCAGAGGCAGATTACTGAGCCGACATCATCTGTACGGTTGGTATTACCTGAAACGTTGATCCAGTCTTTGATGCATCAGTTTACCTGCTTATCAGCTGAAGTCAAAGTTCAAACCATCTTTCAGGCACAACTCCATTCGCCGTCAGATGAATCTGTCCAATCCTGACTTCAACCCCGCTCAGTTCCAGCGCCAGGACTCCCTGTCAGGTTTGGGCCGGATCAAGCCCGAGCTGTACAAGCAGCGGTCCGTGGACGCAGAAGACGGCCGTCGGACCAACAGCTGCGGCCGCCTTTACTTCATCCTGAAATTTGACTTCGATCTGGAGCAGCTGATCGTGAAGATCCACAAGGCCCAGGACCTGCCCGCCAAGGACTTCTCAGGGACCTCCGACCCTTACGTCAAGATCTACCTGCTGCCCGACCGCAAGAACAAGCACCAGACCAAGGTGCACCGCAAAACTCTCAACCCGGTGTTTGACGAGGTGTTTCTTTTCCCCGTGGCGTACTCGGAGCTGTCGAACCGTAAACTGCACTTCAGCGTCTACGACTTTGACAGGTTCTCTCGCCATGATTTGATAGGCCAAGTGGTGGTGGACAACTTCCTGGATTTGGCAGACTTTCCGCGGGAGACGAAGCTGTGCCGGGACATACAGTATGTGACTTCGGTGAGAACTTTCCCTCTACATTCTCGTTTCTTTTCTTCTGCATGCTTTCCTCTTTATAGCTTCTAACAGTGAGAAAAAAGGCCCGAATCACAACAGCTCTGCTAAGCCTCCGGTGTTGTATAAGCCTAAACACTAACCTTTTTTTTAGCCTGAACAAAACCTGCCTAAACAATTAAAAGAAGCATAAACTGTCCTTGTCTTTGACAAAAGCGGAGTGGTAAAATATACCGACTGCCTGCTTTCTCATTTTCAGTCCAACTGATGTGCAGTTTGAAGAGGCGAAGACACAGAAATATACTCAGATGCAGTTAATGTTTAATGAAAGCAGTGGAAAACACTTGGGGGGTGGTGACCCAGATCCACAGTGACATAAGACTGGATGTGACAGAGATACAGCAAAGCCGTTTATGTTACATTATTCACTTAGATAAATCTATAGAAGAGGAAGTCAGGAGATCCCTCCTGGTTTGGCTTCCTTGTTTTTCAGAAAATTGCAGCTTTAAATGGCTTAGTTTGGGACATAAAATCTGTCTTTTATTGTTTATCAGCTGTTCTAAATTAAAACACTGTAACGTTCTGAACATAATCTGATAAAATAACCAAGTTACAGTTAATCTGTACATTTTTACAAACTGTTACTGCAGGTCTGCAACTAATTAGGTTTTATATTGTTTTACTTGCTTTACTGCAACAAACTAGCACTTTTCACTTGTTGAAAAAAAACCCTGATATTCAACTTTGTAAAGGTAGTAAAACAAAAAGTGAAAAATTTTTATTAGCAACAATTCTGAAGAAGGTTAAGATGTAAAGTGAATAAAACAGAAGAATAATTTAAATTTTCTATAAACCTAAAACATATTTTATACAAGATATTTTACCAATTATCTGTTTGAAGGTTATTTCTTTCATATTAAAATCACATCCACCTTTTACTTCCAAGTATATTATTTTATTTGTGTTCATTTTTCTGACTTAGAAATATTAATTTGTTTATTTCTTTTGAAAAGAAAACCCTTGAATTAGCATGTTTTTTTTTAAAAGAACACATTCTCAGGTCAGATAAACTGACGAGCCGAGGGCAACGTTGGAGCTTTGATTGCAACATTGTGCCTGTAAACAATAAACACAAAGAAATGAGGCCAAACGTGCTAAACTGCTAGTTTAATCAACATTTTTTATGTTTTTTTGCTTTAGCACAGGAATCAAAGCAGCTAAAACTGCTGTTATGAGAGGAAATGAACTGACTGCAGGCAACATGTGGCCAATATTTCCCCTGATGACAGCAACTTATTCACAGTGGCTGCGTTTTTCCAGTCAGGCTCTTTTGTCTTCCTGATTTTTCTGTTTCAAACATGAAAAAAAAAACTAAACAAACAACAACAAAAAAAAAACACTTATTTTCTGCATGGATAGTTTGGTTTAAAAAATTGCTCAGAAAATTGAAAAGCAAAGAAGTCTTAGATAAAAGACCCTTTCATGATGAGTTTGGTCCAATTTCACAGTTTTACCTGTAACTAGGTGTTACATTTTAAATTAAAGAAGTAAAAGTATATTTTTTTAGCTTTAAAATGCAATGAAATAAAAGTAAAAGTAGCTATTTAAAAAAATAATTGGTAAAATTACAAATCTCAAAAAAACCTAGCAAAGTAATGTACTTTAGTTACTACAAACCTCTGGTACTGTACGGTTTGATACAGATACATGTGTTGTTGCACCTCTAGCWTCTACATCTGTTTTTTGGAGGCAAAAAGAGCCAAGATGGCAGCAACAGCTGACACATAAACGGCTAAAATTCAGTCATTTTCTTTCTGGATACTGAGCTAAATCTAGTTGTGGTAGTAGCTGAGAGTCACACCCAACACATGCTAAAAGGTTAGCYTAGCATTAGCTCTGGGTTTAAAACATGTGGCGGGTGACGTGCAAGGCTTTCTGTCGCCCTCCCTCCACAGATTCAGCTCCGGACTTCAGGTGGACCAAACCAAAAATTAGCACTTTAGCTGTCGGATTATTTATTTGTTCAGACCCTGAGCTGCCCAAGGCCAGGTTTTTCAGCAGGCCTCTGCCTGATCTGATTTTTTTTTTTTATATATATATTTAAAGTTTGTCTGTCACGAGGTTCGGCTCTCTTCAGAGAAGCTGCTGGAGGCTGAGCTGCAGCCAGAAAAACTGATTATTCTTCTGAGCTTTTCAGAAAAACACGTTTGATCTGCTAACACCTTATGTTGTGTTTTTACGTGAACCTGCTGGTGTTCTTCATTCACATATAATCATATAAACATATCAGAAGCTTAATTTGATTTAATTACGCCTTTAAATCAAAGTCTCTCTGACACTCTGCCCTCTCATCAGAACTCTCACAGGATGCTCTAATTTCATCTTCTGCCTCCTGATTTCATTAGCCGGCTCCTCTGCAGGCAGGAGGCCTCTCCGCCATGTTGGTGAGATTTATTACAGCGGGTGTGAACGGACGTCTCTGACACACTGACTTCTCTGTTTCCAGCTGACCCCAGTCTCAGTTTAATCTGCTGAAGTGCCGCAGGTCGGGTTCTGCCTCGCCCCGCTGCAGGTGAGCACGCGTTTTACCGACGGTGCTCGTTTTTTTTTATTTTAGCGAGAGGCTTGGAGCGTCACGATCTCCGTGCGTGTCGTTTGCTGTCGAACATCTTCGTCACATTGGCTCTGATTGCTTTAGATCCCCCACGCTGAACAGATCTGTGTGTTTGAAGGAGTCCTGCAGCCGTCAGAGCCTCACTTTTATCTTTGAGCTGATTTAAAGTGTGTGATCCTGACGGGGGAGATGGGAATAAAACAGGAAGTCAACTTTCACAGCTTTGAAAACCAAAAATCATCATTTTGTTTAGTTTTTTTCAAACTGTTAGCTTCTCTTAATGTATACAGGTGCTGGTCATAAAATTAGAATATCATGAAAAAGTAGATTTATTTCAGTAATTCCATTTAAAAAGTGAAACTTGTATATTATATTCATACATTACATACAAACTCATATATTTNTTATTAAGGTTTTTATGATGATGTTTTGTTTTACCTGGAAGCAAAAATGTCTAAAATATGTACAAATATATTATTTAAAGAAATACATTTCATTTAAAATGAATTATATCATTATAAATTATATGGACATAATTTCTAGGAGCAGCCGAGGTGTTGAGGGGATCCGTTTTGGTGACCTCAGGATCACAGCTCTGCTTTTTGCAGGTGATGTGGTCCTATTGGCTTCATCAGATCCTGATCTCCAGTTTTCACTGGAGCGGTTCACAGTCGAGTGTGAAGCGGCCAGGATGAGGATCAGTGCCTCCAAATCTTAGACCATGGTCTTGAGCTGGAAAAGGCTGTAGGGTGCCGTCTCCGGGTCGGGGAGGAGGTCCTGCACCAAGTGGAGGAGTTTAAGTATCTCAGGGTCTTGTTCAGGAATGAGGGAAGAATGGAGCGGGAGATCGACAGGAGGATTGGTGCTGCGTCTGTAGTGATGCGGGCGTTGTACCGGTCTGTTGTGATGAATTTACCGGTCGGTCTACAGGAAGGGACTCAGAGTAGAGCCGCTGCTCCTCCACGTGGAGAGGAGCCAGTTGAGGTAGTTCATCTGGTTAGGATGCCTCCTGGACGCCTCCCTGGTGAGGTGTTCTGGACACGTCCCACTGGGAGGAGACCCAGAGGAAGACCAGGACACACTGGAGGGGCTATGTTTCTCAACACCTTGGGATTCCCCCAGAGGAGCTGGTCCAAATGTCTGGAGAGAGGGAAGTCTGGGTCTCTGCTTAGGCTGCTGCCCCCGAGACCTGACCCCGGATAAGAGGAAGAAAATGGACGGATCATCTAATCATCTAAAGTCTCCACTTGATCGTGTTTCTTGACTCACAGCTTCAACAACAAAAAAACCAACATAATCCTTTAAATTAGATTTAAATCTACAAAACATTTCAGTTCTATAGTTTCAGAAGGAGAAAACCAACAATTATTTAATGTTTAAAACGTTTAAATTCAGATGGACAGATATTAGTTAAGCTCCAGAACAAAGTGACATTTCCAACTGAATTAACGAACACCAGATTTAAATACAACACGGGCTGCGGCTTTACACAATATGTTACCAGGCAACACGGCGATTGTTGAGGAGAGCTGGGTTTTTGAAGGGGAGCTGTACTTTTTCTGATCCTTCCTTTCAGCTGAGACACAAAACGCTCGCTGTCCAAAGTCAGAGACAGCGAGAGTTGGCTGTTCAGGTAACCACGGCAACAGCACAACCATAAACAACGAGGAAACAAACAAACKAACAAACCCACCTGGGGAAAATTATATGGCGATTTGTTGCTGCTTTGACCACAGCGTGCCGTCTGAGAGACGCAGAAACACGAGAGAGGAGCTCAGAAAACTGATGTTTCTGATTCATTTGTTGCTTTTCAAGCTGCGAATCTGAACGTTCGTTCAAAGAGATGCTCTTTGAGACGCCTCGGTGGGGTTTCTGAAAGGGACGAGGCGGCGAGGGGGACGGAAAGAAGCCCACACCGAAGTGCCTCTATGTCGTAAAGCAAGGCAGCAGCAGAGCTGAAAGAGACGATGTCTGAAAAGTTACAATGAATCAAATTCTATTACAGAAGGACGATCGATGACAAACAGCAACTACACTTTATTTAGACTGACTTAACCATCAATAAATGAGTAACTCTGAAAACATCATTAATTAAGGATGATTCACACTAAAGCTATAAATTAAAACATTTATTAGCTACTAGGGGTGCAACGATACAGCAAATTCACAGTTCGGTTCGGTTCGATACTTTAGTCTCACCGTTCGATATTTTTTCGATACAAAAAAAGAGAAATGTCCATGCCCCTTTTAACTTGTAATTTATTTAAATTAATTATGAACATTTGTTTAACCTCAAAAGTACAGTTTTTAAATTAAAAGTTGCTGAAACAGCAAGTTTTTCTGTGGATCTGCGCTCAAAAATACAGCCTAGGTGGAGTAGTCGAACACAGAT